CAGATAGCTAGCCAAATGGCTTGTTACGTCGAGGGCCCAATGGCAGCCCATCTTTACTTGACTATGGCCCATCATTGGTCAGTCCAGTTACGCTTGTGCATCATCGTTAGATAATGATTGCTTCGCTGGATACCACCGTGTTAAAATGGGTTATTAGCCATCGTTAGTCTTACTCGTGATTGAAAGGTAGGTATACCTCCTTAAGTCCTCTTGCTTGTCTCGTGAGTTGCAGCAAAAGCGCGCCCCATAAAGGAGCCAAGAGGCCTTATTGCGCTGTCTGAGTACTAGCTAGTACTGGTACTGAGGTTCGTGGTCATCGTGGTTCCCAATTCCCAAATAGAATTGGCGACCCACAGAACAAACCTGATTTGGGGAGTACTGCTGCACCGGTACATCTTGTAAAACAATGTCCGAAAAAAAAACTCCTAGCTAGAGTAGCAGGCAGCTACTAGTAGCTAGCAAAGCTAAAGGTATAACTACAATCTATGAGAAGGGTGGTGGCTGAGGTGCATTTGATACACAGAATGGTTGAGAATGGAGCCAGTAATACGAATCTAGCAAAGAGGTAGTCTCACTGTTTCGAAGTTCCTGACCTAAGTTTGTACTCAGAGGAGATACAAGTGGAAAGCAACCAATCTGAGGTCGACTTTTAAAAATACTGAATCAAGGCACCATGAATAAGAAAGATGATGAAACTCAATTCTCCATTCAACCCAAGAGTGAGGATGTGCCTCCCGTGCCGCGTTCACCAAATGCGTCCCAAACGCCAGAGGAAGTTGCGCAGGTGAGAAGCGTAGTAAATTGTGGCTATGCAAGTAGGGTAGTCTTGGACACTCACACCACATAATATCTTTCCTGCCACATGCATTTACAGGCCAAATCAACTGGGTCTCCTGGCACCGACAATGATGGCTCTGATGAGCCCTTAATGAAGATTGTTGCGCAGCGGAGTAGGTTTCACCGCCTCGCCATCAACCATGCAAATCGGCGCCGGCTGGCCAGCGGGTCTGAAGCTTCCATGGGGGAGCGAGCTTTGAAAGGTGCTACGAAAGATCCAAGCAGCGGGGCACCTCTACCTGCCATGCTGCCAAGTACCGAGATCCCGGTTTCCAAAGAACAAGCAATGGACGTGGCCTTGGTCGAGTCGATGCAGGCGGCCCATTCTTTCGACAATGCCGAGGGGATGCCTGGCGCACACGCAATAAACGGACCCGGGCCCACGGAAGGCCTAGAAGATCGGGATGCGTCGGAACCAACCGATGAGCGCTCGTCAGGGACTGTGCTGGAAAGCGATGACGAAATCGCGATCGACGGTGCTGTCGTTGTCGATCAAACAGACTTGGAATCCGGAAGTTGCAACGACGGAAGCAGAGACGGAGCAGAGGACGAGGTTATTCAAGGCAGGATCTTGCCAGACCGGCACAAGAAGCAATGCGGATCACAGCTAATTGTTTGTGCCTTGGTCCTTGTCTTGGCGTGTGGCTTGTTCGCGTCGTTGTTTGGTGCAACACGGCCCCCTGCGTCCGCCAACGACTCGCCGAGCCACGAAGAAAGGCAAGTCCGGCATAATGCCACAAAGGTGGTCTATCCACCGTTCCAAGACGGACTGTCCATGGAGATTCTCAAGGGAGTTCAAGATACAGGAAGCGCATACTACAAGGCCAATGCTTGGATGAATCAGGATCCTCAGCTTGACAGGTATTCAAAGGATAGGCAGTATCAGCGGTTCACGATGGCCTGGTTATTCTACATAACAAGTGGTCACAACTGGACCAGGAATGACAACTGGTTGAGCTACACTGTATCTGAATGTGATTGGTTTTCAAAGAACAGCAGCCTAAGCGTTCACGGCTGGCACGAAGGAGAGAAACCTGAACCTGTGTGCGACGAGGAAGGCAACCTGGCTGTCCTGAACGTTTCCTCCAATAACTTGAAAGGACTGTTCCCCCGTACTTCGTCCATCGGCTTCAAAGCCATCCGCATTGTTGATGTATCCAACAATGCGATACATGGTGCCATCCCGAACACCGGGTCTTACTCGTACAGTCTCGAGGTCCTTGCTGTTTCGAACAATAAGTTCCAGGCGCAGCTTACTGGCGGGGGTGGATTCGCTGCCTTTAACCTGCGTGTTGCCAGAATGGATGGGAATAAGCTCATGGGATGGCACTCGGCCGTGTATCCGTTCCTCCCGCATTTGGAGGTCCTTGACATTGCGGACAATCTTTTTGAAGGTGAGCTATCACCAAAACTCCGGCTCTGCAAGAACATGACTTACTTTGCGAACCGAGGTAACTCTTTCCACGGTTCACTCCCAACCGAGTTGGGTGAGTTAAGTCTGCTGCAAGAGTTGGATGTTTCTGGCAACCGGTTCCTCCATGGGACCGTGCCATCGGAGCTGGCCTTGTTGCCCGATCTGGCTCGTCTGAACATCATTGGCACGTCCATCACTGGAACTATCCCTGAACTGTTGTGCTCCAAAGTGAACAGAGGAGATCTGGTTTTGATTGCCAACAAGAGCATTGCTGAAACTTGCCAGTGAATTTCGGGCTCAGAAAAAGAGGTTTGGAATCCTAACAATGCATGACTATGACATACACATATACAAAGCCACTACTTAGTACTTGCCATGAATAAAATCGCTGTACTGCAACTAAAATATACTAGGATGGCGTTTTCCTGTCTGTGTTCACTCAAAGCGCGTGTCCACCTCTGTGAGAGTTACTGGTATGGATTCTTTGTAGATCTCATTTGCGTCTATGGCGTGTTGCACAGCGAAAATGACGCTGCAGCCAACATCAGCCTTGCTCCGCCTGGCAGCCAACACAGCATTTCCCGTGGACTACTGCACATTCAGTTTCGGTTGTCATCTTGAAGATCCCGAATGCGATGATTTTGTTGTAGTCCGGACTGCGGACTTGCCTGCCTGCCAACAAACCCATCGACAACAAAAGCACCACCGTAGCCACCATGCCACCGTCCTCTGAGTACCATCCACAGCTAGCTAAGCTAGTAGGGAGAAGGAACCATAGCAACGATGATGACGAGACGACTGGTTTCGTCGACTACTGGTATGGCCGCTCAGACGCCGCTTTGCTTGAACGGTGCAAGGACAATACGGAAAGGACAAAGATATGCATCAACGACGACGACGACAACAACAACAACAACCATCACAACAGAACCCGCACGTCAACCGTGGGGGTATTTGAAGTGGGAGTCTCTAGTAGAGCTGTTGCGACAACGGCAACATCGTTGCATGCGAACATGCGAACGGACCTGGTTTCCTTCTATGTATGTCCCAGCTCAGAACGAAAGCGCCAGTCCCCAAGCCAACGCTTGTGGTTGCGATGACAAACGCTGTTTCCTTTCCAAGTCCCAAACCCATTACCCGACAAGCTTCTCAGATAGAGACCCTGGACCTGGGTTACTCGGCATTTTGTCTATTTAAGGCTATTGTATCTGATTACAGAGTTTCCTAAATATTCTATGCTCCTTTGTTAAGTGACGGATGTCTCACAATGTCTCACAATGTCTACTAATGTCTCACAATGTCTTACAATGTCGCACAATGTCTACTAATGTCTACCAATGTCTTACTTTGTCTACACAGTACAGTAAAACAGTACAAAAATGTCTCACTTTGTCCACCAATGTCTCACAATGTCTCACAATGTCTCACTTTGTCTACCAATGTCTATCAATGTATCACTTTGTCTACTAATGTCTCCTAATGTCGCACAATGTCTACTTTGTCTACTTATGTCTACTAACTGTGTGTAGACATTTACACTTAATCGCCAAAACACTTTCCCAAATTTAAACAGACAAAATGCCGAGTAACCCTGGACGCCTGAAGTGTGTCAACGTCTCCACCCGGGGGATGGAGAAAATCAATGCCATCCCATGCCGCCACTGCTTTCAGTCTTGGAATAACTGTCAACCACTGCCAACCACTGTTTCCCAAAACAATGGTGCCTTTCGACTTTCAACATGGCCTGCCACTGCCTACGACTCTCTTGGTCATGGTTTACCTCGGTTGGCATTGGATGGCACTGGATTTCTCCACCCCCGGAAATGTACTGTACCAGGTATAAGTTGCCGCTTCGCAACTCACATGTTGAGTGGCAACTTCACTTTAATAATTAGTATCAAGGCAGAAGAGCCGAGAAGGGAGAGGAGCATTTTAAAAGAATTAAAGGCCGCATTTGTGGAAGCTGAGTGCGCTATCGTACTGTGCGCTATTAATGTAGCGCTGGATACGGTATCTTATCACTAACTATTACTCCTACCTGGTACTATTAATAGTACCTTTAAGTGCTCAATAATAGTATTTGCTCTGTCTGTGCCAGCAGACTATTTTAATTAAATAGCGGTTGACTGTTCTACTAGCTAGCTGGACTGCTGTGGTAGCGCGAAAAGGAAATGTACCGTTTCGGGCGAAGCGGTGGTCCACGTGTTCCGGTACTGCGTAGCGTACAGGTACTGCGGTACTGCACATGCCGCTGGAAGGTAAACCGAGTGTCACGCTTTGTCTTTTCGAGACAAACTGACACACTTACACAATTCACAAGAAAACAATTGGCCCATGGCAACAACAGCAAACAGCAACAGCAAAATGAGGAGAAGGACAACATCGGATGGATCTCTACAGACCGCAAGTATCCCTCACGGCTCTGCTTATTTTACCATGGGGTTTGCAGCCGGCTCCCTTTCTGCAGCAATCTGGATGGTGGCGGGGGCATCTGTCCCTTTCATACTTCTGGAATCTTCTCTGGTGGATCCACAGGTTAGGGCTGTTCTCCAATGGTTGTACCCTCTCGTTCTCTATCCTTTGATATCCTATTGTGTCCTCTTTCGGCTGATTCCCAAGCTTCTCAAGGATGCTCACAAGGAAGAAGCTGCCACTTCCAGCTCCCGCAGCAGCAGCAACAGCAACAGCTCTAATGCCGACAACAGAGTGGATGACGGAGGTCGGTTATGCCATTTTTACTGTCATGCGCTTGCTGGAGCCGCCGTCGGCAACAGCTTCACCTGGATCCTGCTCCATTTACTCCTGATCCCGTCGAAACCTCTTTCCATCACGCATCTATTGCTGGTGTTTCCACTTCTCGTTGGATTATGGTGGGAGCGAACCATGTCTCATGGACCCATTCAAGAGTTGCAACAGAGGAAACAAGAAGGGACGAATGCGGAGAGTGTGATTCTGGTGTAGCCAACGGCAAGGAGCAGGAATGCGAGCTTACGGAAGGAACAGTCATGATGAGGGAGACGGACAACAAGCCGACCGTGAACTGCGGATGGCAACCGGAGGCGAAGTCGAGTCTGCTTCGTTGAGTTGATTTCTAAAGGCTAGCTAGCGGGAATGCATCAGCTACGTGATTGCAGGGCGCGACAAAGCAACAGAAACCTAATAAGCAATGTAATTGCCTAGCTAGACGTAGCACGAGAGTCCTGAAGGGGCAGCACCCAACTGATTACATTGTCACTACTTGACCGCCCTTTCTCAGGTACCGGTAGAGCGAGAGTCTGCAATTGCTGTGATGAGGTTTCATGGGGCATACCGGTACCTGGTTCCAGGGTACCAGTACCACCCGTCGATCATGTACTAGTAAAAGAAAATGAAGCATCCCATCACTCTAGCTAGTCTACTGCCAAGTCATCTTTGGAGGGTTCTCGGCTGTCAAAACAGATGTCAAAATAGAGTACTAGTACTGGTCGAACTCGTTCGACGTGACCGTAAATTACCCTGTTTGGAGATGTGCTTTTCAGCTGTGTAAGTAATAAGCCTGGAGTTGAGATGCCGTAGATGAGGTAAATATATGAGCTATATGTCACGTTTATTGCAATTTGGAGGGTTCTCTGTTCTCTTCTACACAGAGTATTCTTTTGACTTGGAGATTCTCTTTGCCGTCTAGAAAAATGTATGTAGAAGATGAGGTAAACCAAATTCAAAGCCCTTTAGGCAAATAGCTACTAGAAGTAGCATTCTCAGGGGGGTGCCTCAAATCAACCTCGTGTGTGTGATTATATCCCCAACCACCTACACTGGGTACACATGTGATGGCCAAAAGATGGTAAAAAATGGTCTAATGCGGTCCAGAGTGGTAATACAAATAAAGGCGGTGAAAAGCGGTGAACAAGCGGTAAACAAGCGGTAAACAGGCGGTAAACAGATGGTAAAACAGGCGGTTGAAGGCGGTTGGAGGCGGTCGAAAACGATTAAAGACGGCTAAAGTTGGTTGAAGACGGAACGCTCATAGCCAAACTGTCAGAGAGGTGGGGTAAGAAAAGAAGGGGCAAAACCAGTTGGTTTGAGGCACCCCCCAGCATTCTCAAATAGCTTGTCTTATATTTACCTTAACTACCTTACTTATGCAGTTTGTAAATGCGAACGAACTTGGTATGTACCGGCTGCCAAATGTACCAGATTCCGGTACTGTAGACTACTTACTACTGTAACTAAGGCTGGGAGGAACCACTACTATTAATAAAATAGCTACTAGACATTGTCTTGAAGCACCCGATCGTAATCCTCCTCTCTTTGCTTGCAGAGCGCTTTGCCCTAGCAGTAAATGCAGATAGATGAGGTAAACCTAATTCAAGGCTTTTTACTCTCATAGAACTCTCTAATAGCTATAGTCCTATATTTACCTTAACTACCTTACTCAATCATTTCATACGCGAAGAAACTTGATAACCGGTGCCATCTACGGTCGACTACCAAACGTACCGTTGGCGCTTCACTTCGCTTCACATCCCTATTAGTACAGTACCCTCACATCCCCACTTTGCAACCATACAGACAAAAGCTAAAAGGTCAAGATAAAGACGAGGACCAAAGGCAAAGAGCAAAGGCGCCCGGTGGTGGCAACAGCTGTGGGCCAACCTCATCATGGCGGTTCCAATCGAATGCATTTGCTTGTAGGGTTGCTTGCGGGTTCCTTGGCTGCAGTGGTCTGGAATTGGAAAGGAGCTTCTCTTCCTGCCCTACTCCTGCAATCCAATATTTTGGCTCCAAACCTCGAAAAGGTGTGTTTGGTGGTTGTATCTTCTTTTCCTGTATCCCTTGATTGCATTCTATGTTCTCTTTCGGCTGATTCCCAAGCTTCTCTCAGAAACGGAAGAAAGCAACAACAGTATCAACGACAATAGTGGTGGTGGCAACAGAGGAGTGGATGATGGTGGAAGACAGTTGGTCAATTTCTATATTCATGTCTTTGTGGGGTGGCTTTTGGGCAACAGCACAACATGGATCATGTTGCACTTGCTTCATTGTACATTATTGAAAGAAGAAGAAGAAGAAGCAGAACCCATATCCTTGACGCCGTTTGTCTTGATGGCACTCTCCTTCGGATTACTACATGTACTATCAACGAAGTATGGCAACACACAGAATACTGTGACCCCCCAAGGTTAGCCAGTACCAGGTAGCTAGCTACCGGTACCGTATCCTGGCTAGCGTTTGGCGGCGAGGCCGCCATTCCTGATGAAGCACGTGGGGGGAGAAGAATCAAGTGGGTGAAACTTGGAATCTACTACGCCACGGAGCGGGTACCAAAAGTTTTGAAAAACAGGGGATGTACGTTAGCTTAGATCAAGGCGCATGTGGTCCTCTCTAGTTAGCTATCTGATAGCTAGCTAGATTATGGGCAGATAAGGCAGAAATGTCCTGATTGTAACCTCCCCTGTGAACGACCTTGTAGCTATCAATTTGTGCAGTGTCAACGAGGGGTGCATGGCTGGCATGGATGCGCATAGTGATTTGTACCTACCGGCATACCGTATTACACAGAGCGGCTGTTCGTGCTGTGGTAATAAGATGGTTCGGTAGACATGGGGTGCAATAGTTGCAGAGTGTACAGTATTGGCAACCCATGAGGCTGTGCACTTGCAGCATTCCTCAAAGTGTCGCCTTATACGGTACATGCCGCTGCTACTACTCACGGAAAAACACCCTCCCGCATGGTCCATGATACGGTACTACTGTACGGTAGCAAGTAAGTCAAAGTGTGCCTGTAGGTATGTAGCAAAACTTGTTCCTGTTATTATGATCCCCTTATTATGCATTCATTGCTTTCGTGATGAGAGTTAGCTGTCCCGTTCTTTTGTTTCTAGCCAAATTCCTTGTTCTTGTTTTGGCTTGGGTACTACTGCTCCCTCAGTTAGTTGTGAAAGCACGAGTTGACAAATTCCGCATCCATGGTTTCTAGGTAAATCATGTAGGCTTCGGCGCAATCCTGAGCCGCTCGCATGTCGCTCAAAAGGGCGGCTTCTTCTCGACTGAATCGTTTCTTGTTCTTCTTGTTGGCAAAGAATTCCAGTCCTCGCCAAGAGTCTACGCTTTCATCGAGGTCTTTTTCCAATTCGACAAACTTACGAATCTTTTTGCGGAGTTTGCACAATTCTCGCTCACTGTACCACATGGATTTTTTCTCTCGCTCCGTGTACGTTTCCAAATGGCGCACTTCGTAAATCCAAGTCTCATTTTCAAAACCCACGCGACGGCTGCTCGATGATGATGATGATGATGATGCGCTGGTACTACTAGTGCTGGCAGAGGACGATAAGGACGACGCGGACGAACCCATAGATCGGTCGGAGGTATTATCGGCGGATTGGAACAAGTTCATCATGGTTGTTGATGGAGTGGCAAGTTGCTCGTGTGGTTTTATGAGTTTCTTCCTTGGTCCTGTTCCGTAAATTGTGATCAAACCAACACTTCTGCATGGCTCAACAAAAAAACGGCAACAACCAGTTCACTTGAGAGCCTTCACATCCCACATCAAAAAATCAAGTTGTGTCTGAGCAGATCTAGATGCGGGAACGAAAAGTGACCTTGCTTCCTGTTGGAATCAAAAATTCATTTATTGGCCAGGACACATATTATATCTCTTGGTCAGAAGCCAAGATCGAGGGAGACTCACTTTCAGTGATCTGTACAGCACAGAATCTTCGACAATGATCTTGCGAACTGAAACAATTAACAAAAGAAGTTGAACCATGGTTCAAGAACTTCAAGGTGCCGCCAGGCACATTAAAGCCAAAAACGAAGATCTTGCGGAAGTGACATCACTATTGAATTGTTGTACAATGGCATCCTTCTAGTAAAAACAGAGAATGTCAGTTGATTCATTATGACCTTGAGCAGTTAAGTAGCCACTGTAACAATCACACGTGCTCTTTGTAAGTCTTTCAGGGTGCTTCCGCAGCCTTCCAAAAGCCTTCCAATCACCAAGCCAAGAAGCCAAGATGTGACTGGTTCAGCTCTGGTTCCCAGTTCCCACCTCCCAGCGCTTCCACAGTCCGCCACCCTCGAACTCAAACGGTACTGGTACAGTACCACTTCTGTGGGGGAGGAAGGCTCAGCTTCTTGCCGTCGAATGATGAATCGAATCGAATCGAATGTAGCTTGGGAGGATGTGTTGAGGACAGGTCTCAGCACTACCTCTTGCTAGCTTGGGCTTTGACTTTTGTGTGCGGTAGTACCAGTTGCTGCTTCGGCCACCGACGAGAAGGAGAGGTTACTATGCTGGGCCAAGCAAGATGGTTACAAGCGGCTTTCTGTTTTTCCTTTGTTTTCTCTCTCAGGCCGCGGTTAGAACCAAATCCTCCGTCAGTCAACAGTCAAGGTACAGCTGTAGCACGTGGTGCTGTGGTTGGCTGCCTGGCTAGAATTGCAAGATTTTTGATGTCCTCGTTCTTGGTCCCTTCCGCACCGCTTCTTTGCTCACTGTACCGGTTGTTTGGTTAGCGGTACGGGTACCGAATATTCCGGTTTAAATCATGGACGAAACTCCACAGCCTAACTGCCACCATGCTTGTACGTCGGCATGCTCAATTAATATCGTGCGGTTGTTATGCGGTTCGGGCAAGTTTGCCGCAAGCAAAATCAATGTTCTTCCCTACCGGTATACTGCGTACCAGTACCATAAAGTTGCTTGTATTACACTTTTTGTCAGCACCAAGCTAAGCAAGCATCTTGTTGCATGCATTTTTTCTATGCATATCTTGACTAGCTAGTTACCGTACTGAGGTGCTGGGTGTCGCCGTAATGTTTGCTTCGAACGCTTATTTTGTGGGAAGAGATTTGCGAGTTGGCCGGATGAATCAGCGACCCAGTCACATTAGATAGAGTATTTGGCGCAAAGCCTCAATTTCTTTCGGCGGCAGTTGCGCTGAGTGTCACTCGCTGGAAGAGAGCTTTGAGACTCAGGTAGATGTGGTAAGCATTACTTTTGGTTTTTATACTCAGAGTAAAACGTGACCTTAACCCTATATTTACCCGAACTACTCATTTACAGCTTTCTTGCTGGTGGTCGGTGGCAAATACAGATGGATCATCAGTATTGCGAGTGTGTGATCCAGTGTTCATGGTAGTATATATCTCTGCTTCATCCCCTGCAATGCAAAATCATTTCACAGGGCAGAACAGATAGAAGAATCGAATCGAAGGGACGACAAGATACAGTAGAAGATGGTGGGCCGAAAGAAACAATCTACAGCTGCCAGGTGCACTGGGAAGTTGCTTCTTCTGCTCTTGATGGTAATGGCGCTCAAGTTGCATTCGAACTCGTCATTGAAAGGTCTCAGTCTTCGACAACTGCGGAAGGAGGATCTGAACTCCAATTTGGTGCTTCCTACTATTCAGTTTCCGGCTCTGCCCGATCGATCGGTGGAGTACAATCCCAATCCAATCCCGTTGAACGAAACTGTTGACAACAAGTCTTTCAAGTTTCCAGAGAGTGACATTATGCACCGGTACTTGGACGGACTAGAAGGGGTAGAAGTCGGTTCCGCGACACACAATGGCTTTGGTTTGCACACTGTCAATGTCGACTTTACCTTTGAGCCGACTCTGTACCAAAAGGAACAGATCGACTTTGTAGGGCAGTACCGTCGAGTAGATGTCAAGGCATCGGCCGATCGTCTGCCTTGGGCCGACGGAGTGGTCGACTTTGTCCTTTCGTCGCATGTCATTGAACACTTTCATGATCCCATCAAAGTCGTTTGCGAATGGCTGCGCGTTGTTCGGGTTGGCGGATACGTCGCCATTATCGCTCCTCACAAGGAGCGAACCTTTGACAAGGACCGAGAACGTACGCCGTGGGAAGAAATTCGCCTTCGACACTATCGGTTCGAGTCTGGTGAACTTGTAGATGCTGCCTTTGATAGTCTTCAGCATTGGTGTGTATGGATCACGGACGACTTTTTGGAAATCGCCAAACACATGCATTGGAAGGTTGTGGAGTGGCAGGATGCCGATGACAAGGTGGGCAATGGCTTTACAATTATTATGCAAAAGACACCTAGCTCTTTGAGGAATTGCCCGGTACAGAGACAAGGGGACAAGCTATAAGGAGAAAAGCAACCGTGGGACATGTTGGCTGGCTTCCTGGATTTTTCTTAGGTAGTTTTGTACATGTACATGTATGATAACTCATTGAGTATTTTGAATTGGCCAGTTTTCGTTCGTCCTCCGATGGGGCTTGCTGCATTGCCTCCCTCTGTGAATTTCTTGCTCTCGTGAAATAGTCCTCGTCTTGTTTGTTTGTCTGGGCGTCCTCGCAAGTGTCGATTGCATAGTCGAAATGAGACCACCAATAGCCTTGTATACCCAGACAGTGCCAATGTGCTAGCTACCGTAGATGCTCTCAACTAAGTGTAGTTTCCCTTGAAGAAGCCCAGGAGCTTCGCAGGAGCTGCCAAAAGAGTCCATATTCCTCCAGTGTCGGTCCCATGTGTCCGCTATGCATGGTAGGTATTCACCGTGTGATAACCGCAGCTACTAGACTAGCTACTAGCTGCTGGCTAGCCATTCAAGTGTAGGTGATTTACTCGTATCGCCAGTGGTGGTTTCCTCGTTGTCTAAACTGTGGTACCATCCGGTACCGGTATCGGCAGGCGACCCAGTTTCTTCTGAAACGGTGACTGGTTGCTGGCACCATACCAGCACAAGGAGTCCACTCGACGTGGCAGCATGATTCAATCTGAAACTGGGACAATTCGATCGGACACTTTCTGGCAGCGGACACTATGTCGTGTTCCTAGCTAGCTAGCTAGCTAGCTAGCTAGTTAGCTAGCTAGCTAGTAGACTCTACTCGAGTAATGGATGGCAAAGATCCAGTTGTGGTGAAGGGCTCACAAATAAATCAGATAGTTACAAATCGTTTGCCCGAGTTAGCTGGCTATAGGATCATTTTTGAGAGCAAACCATCTAGCGGTACCCAAGATGTTCGGTTCAACGAAGCTACCATCAGACGATGTCGATAAGATATGTGGCACCTGGGACAAAGAACGGATGATCGGCGCAGATAAGAATGAGTCATCAAGCTCCACAGTATCGTTGTCTTCTCTTGGTGAATGGTCAGGGGAATTCTTCCCTGAAGACGAGGATGGCCACCAACACAGCGACTCCTCCTTGTCAGTGAAATCGATTTCTTCACTCACCTCTGTCAAGTCCATCGGGGCCTCTTCAATGACAGCTTCAACGAGGCTCCAGAGCCGGGCAAATTTCGCCCGCCAGAAGCTTGCTAATTCTCAAGACGTGAAACGAAAGATGAAAGTCTACCGTCAAGATACTATTGATGCTCGAGTCATGGCCAATGACACAATTGACACAGATGCAGAAGTGGTGGATGAATCACTTCGGGCATTGGAAGGGGTTTTGCAGACAATTGGTGGCACTTCTTGCAATTCCAAGGTTTTGAAGAACCAAGTAAGAGCATTTCGTCGCGAGAATGCGAAAACCCAGGTGATGACAGCTGATGTGGTTCAGAAGGACACCCAAAAGGTGGGTGAATGCTTGAACGCCATGGAAAGGTTGATGGTTGAAATGCAGTACAAACCTCCACGAAACTTGAAACAGAAAAACAGGAAGAACGCTGAAATCTGACTAGCTTGCTGCAGAACCTCATTATTTCTATGAGACTGGCAGCCCAGCGAGATCGCAGTGACAACCCGTTTGTGCAGGATGATGCATTTTTTAGCAATAAGTAGGTCTAATATAGTCGTTTCGTGGGTTGTTCTCAGCGCCGTTGGTCAAACTATCCATTCTCTCTACTTGCTTTCGCTTAAGTCACCGTCGACGCTCCCGTAGGTTGACCCACCACACACATGAAAAAGGCACTGGTAGATAAGCTGGCAATTTGTTTATGCATTTGCCGAGGTGACAATCTCATAGCCAGCTTGGGGCTTGTATCAATGGAACATCCTTGTAAGCAGCACAAAGCACGCGACCACGAAGAAGGCCAAAACAGTGAAGTGGTACACATTGGACTCGTTCAGCCATCGAACCAGATTCACGGAAAGCAGATTGTCGATGGCGACGGACTGCTCCAAGTACTTCAATGCTCCAACATCGTTTTCGAATGATTTCACTTGAAAGCAAGAAGTGGCATTGTCGTCCCAACTCAGCTGAAAGCTGTACCACGCGGCACCAGCCACTGCTTCATCGTCAAACAGAACTGTTGTCGACCATCCGTTCGAGGCAGATGCCGACACTGTAACGTCCATATTCCACCGATTTTGGATCTGCTTAAACGATGGAGCACCACAAAGCTTCAGACCGTACTGGCATTCATAGGCCTTTTTGTCCTGGGCGTACCATTCCAGGGTAGCAGAGGTTCCATCGTCGAACTCATAAGTAAGATAGACTGGGAAATGGTTGCCTTCACACGATCCAACATCCTCGCGATTTCAATGGCGCCAGTGGAGACTATTTCCATTTCCTATAGTCACATAGTCAGATCCGTCAATGAAGGCCTCAACTCGCAAAGAAACTACATGCGAGGAGCATGACCCATCATCTTGAAGGGCCATGGGATCATAGTTTCTGTAGCTTGGGTCGGCGCAACCTGGCCTTGTAAGGAACAAGTCGAGTGCACGTGACACAGCCTCAGACCGAGCATTCAAATCTCTGTCGCCAGTCCAGTCTTCGCTGAGTACTTCGTCCATTGGGATAGCTGTCCAGTCCAAGCATTGAACGTTTTCCCGGTTCATCACGCTCGTCATCCAGTCCATCCATCGATTGCCATTCACCGGAGTGCCGCCATTGAAAACAATGTCATTGAACGTAGTGGCGTTGCTAAAGGCTTCGTTCGTTGTAGTTGAAGATGCCTCATTTGATATAGACTCGAGAAACTCGAGTTTCGCTTGCTCCTTCACTATGCCTTCAGAATATGACTGGGTAAACCACTTGTTTGTGTAGGCGAACTACATCATCGAGCCCCCGATGTAGCACCTTGTTATCATGTGCGTTTTCCATTCGTCGAAAAACTTGAAGAAGGGATAGGGGTTTGCCGTATCGAAGGTGGTAGGTAGGGACTTGACAGCATGTACAAACATATGGTCAAGCCTGCCATGTCCAGGAAAGTCCAGCAAAAGCTAAGTTTTTGGGATACTCTTTAATTAAACAGCTGGATTGTTGAATAAACCCAACAAGTGTTGAAAAAGTGTTGATTAAAGTGTTGATGTACTGTTGATTTAATGTTGACTCTGTTTCAACAACTGTTGGATTTACTGTTGCATTTTTGTACATTATTTTCAACACTTTTACTGTAACTATCTACTATTGGATTCAACATCTGTTGAATTCAGTGTTAAACAGTATTCAACAGTTTTGAAAAATGTGTTGAAAAAGGTGTTTTAAAGGAAAGCGTTGAACAACTGTTTAAACAAAAGTCACCACGCTGTTGAACTTAAATTCAACACTTTTACAGATCCTTTCAGCGATTCCAGCTTTTGCGGGACTTTCCAGGATGCAGGGTCAGGCCATAAACAATGCACCGAGTCAACGACTTACTGACGGTGGCACCACTGCTTGAAATCAACTTGCTGACGCGTTTGGTCTCGTCGGAGTACAGGCCAGTGAGCTTCTGGTGTGATCCGACTATGTTCAATGATTTGGTCACCTCCCGTTGGTACTTTTCCATCGAATCAACCGAGAAGGTAGACACGTCCCTCTGGCATGAGGCTCAGTTTCAACTACTTTTTGAGAATTGTTGAATCGGACATTTGGAGGCCATTTCCATGAGGCCCTAATCGAGATCACCCAAGACCACTTTCAACTAGTCAGTTGCCAATTCGGAAAATGTGACTCCCACCAAGGGCCACGTGGCAATGGAAAACCAAAAACCAATGATACCCAATGCGAAATCCAATGCCAACGGGGAATGCAAGGTTGATTGTTGTCATGTTTGTCTGCCATAGAATTCGCGAATTGGTGTGAGATCTAGGCTCAACACAAGTAAGAACACAAACTAATGATTCAGACAATGATAAGTCGTCACAAATCATGCCACTTGCCTTATCCTCGTGGTGTCTTTGGTGATACCTTTTGTATCAAGTGTAAAGGACCATCCTCTTGAGGAGTTGTGCAATTTCGCTCAGGCCTCTGTGTCGTTGTTGTCTGCCGCCGATCCTGGTCTGTTAGAACACATTGGCGACACTCGAGGAGGAGGAAGGCCACACCAGAACAGGAAGAGGAAGTATGTTAATGACATCTTCAACGAGCTTGGACCTCATTACGTCAGACGCTGTGCTTATCCCGGCATGAAAACCGCTTCTTTATGATAGCGAAAAGTTGTTCGGGTGCATCCATGGCTGAAGCCGGTTCTCCTTCTCTTTGAATCCTCTTTTGCGTATGCAGAGGATTGATACGTGAGAGCTTGACAAGAAGGGGTAGCCGAAATGAACCTACTCTGCATCCATTTGCTCAAGAGCTGACAGAAGTCAGTTTCAGCAATTAGTATTACTCTCTCATGGTATGTGAGCAACTGCTGCCACCTTGTTATGTACATTTGCTGTGTTCCTCTCAATTGCGAATAGGCCTAGGCGGAGCGTCTCCATCGAACTCCCACCTTCCGAATATACCGCCAGTGACTACTAGGATCTAAGTTGATTGCGGGACGCCACTTGGCATGTCAACTCAAATGTGCGAACCACCCCAAAGCTTAGTCTTCTCTCTATACTCGCAACTACATCGATCTAACCTCTGCTCTTGCGTCTTACCTTATGTCGGGGTGTGTTTGAGTGTTGCGGTGGAGCAGTGGACGGCATCTTGATCTGGACAGAAAGGTGACCACTCGAAGGAGAAGTTCGCTTTCGTGAGCGATAGCTAGCCAGTGTTGGACAAAGTACTCACTTATCTACTTTCCTGTTCCTGGTCAAGAAGAAGTGTTACAGCTTGCTGGAAACCTCCTTTGTTGAACATGCAGGGACACGTGTGGAACGCGATCATCTGGGTAAGAATATCTCCTCTGGATATTTATGTGAAGCATCCTGGCTCGACGTCTGACTATCTTGCTTGGACATCATCTCCCCTTTACCACAGCATCGAGCGAGAAGGATTCATGAAAAAAGGAATTTGTCTCTTCGGAGATAATGCATACGTCAATATCACCCACTATCTCCGGTGTCCCTAACCTTCCTCATTCAGTGGGAAAGCGCACGTCCATGAGTCATTTACTAACAGTTTCCTTTGCGTATCTTCTTGCTTGTATAAGAGACGCGTCTTCACCTTCTCTTCCTATACTACTTCCCACCCTTTCCCTCTCGCCCATTCACATCGCAGTCTGTGCTTTTGGGAACATGTCGTGGAGCTTCCGACCTCGGGGAAAATATGGATACGTGCCATATTGCACGTCCAACGCTCTTTCTCCATCTCTCGCGGAAAAGTAGACCAACGTCTCCATCTTGTCTTGCTCTCTGCGTGAACCTCTGCGCCAGCCTGCCACAACTTCTAGCGGAGCTCTCGAGTTAGCATGAGCGGATTGCAGAGTTGTTCGAGACGGCGAAGAGGCAACAAAATTCGCAAGTGGATTTCCTTCTGAAGAGTGTCAGCTGTCCAGATCTACGTAAGTAGCAGATGTCCGAACGTCTTGATCATGTCGATGAGGTCAAGGGGCTCGCCAGTGGAACCAGGTTACGCCTTGCGTGTCAGCGGTTTGGGGAGGGTGTACATAGCGGCTTTGCCATAGACAGGCTTTATCTTCCACTGCTAACATCTGTGAGATGAATACCGACCGACAGGATTACTCGATGGAGGCAACCATTTTGATGACGTTTCTTACTGGTCTAGGGCTTATCGAAAGAAGAAGAATGGAGAAACTTTACCCAGAGAGCTTATGCACGAAACGATCCAACGCCAGGGCCTGCAGCGACCAACACCCAAACACTGGATTGGAGATACTCCTGCTCGCTCTTATCAAACT